CAGAGACAGAGAAACCCTATTGCTGGGGCATATGCCAGGCAGGTCCCTCTGATACCAGCAGAAGGAGAAAAGCAGCAGAGTCCATGAGAAACCTAATTTTGCAAATGTAAATGTGCCTGGGAGATGCTGAGATACTAAAAAGGATGGGCACAGAACTAGAAAGGAAAGTTACACCGAGACCTACCTCCAACGTCCAAGTCCACTTTATAATGGATGGAATGGGTGTGTATCGTCCCCAGGGTGTGATCCCCAACCTTATTGCCATAGTCCAGACCGTCACCATAGAGAAAGGATGAAGTCATGTAGCCTGTGGCATGGACTTTGGCCTCGATAGCTCCGTTCTCGTAGAAGAGGAAGTCCCAGACATAGTCATAGTTGCCCAGAGTGGCAATGGACCGAAGGACCAGAGCAGAGTTGGTCAGCCCCCCATAGTACAGGGACTGCAAGTTGGAGTAATGGCGCCTCAGAGGAGACCCAGTGTTCTCCTCAAAAATGCAGATGGAGTTTTTATGCTTTTCAGGTGTCTGGGTTTCAATTAAGTAGCATGTGTCTACGTACGTAGCTGAATAGGGGCAATCAACCCCCCGGACTAACGGGTACGTGAATCTCCCGATGCCAAAGCTCCCATCCATGTACCTGGTTGACATCCCTCCAGGACAGTTGGACCCATAGACAGATATAGCATCCTGGACACTGATTTCATAGACAATCCTCTCCCCCTTAAATCTGATGTCAAAGAGACGCATCCCCGTGTTCACGTTCACCCCAAAGGCAAAGCTCCAGGCCCGGGAGACAACTTGGTTGTTTTGGACACTGTAGCGGGGCCCATGAGGCTCGTACTGCAGGGGGAACGGGGCCCTGGGAGCTGCTCGGGGCTGCATGGAAGAGAATCCCCCGTCGGGTGGGGCTCTCTTAACTGGGTCCACTTTGACATGGCCCTGCTTGAACTCCCTCTCCAGCTGCACCAAGTCCCCGTAGTACTGGCCGTTAAAGAACACTTTGCTCACCCTCCACTGGGAAACGTCCAGGCTGCTGTGATCAACCAGCACCTCCAGCCCCACCGGGTGCAGGAAGAAGCCGCTCACGTTGTGGAACAGAATAAACCAGGTGTTGCGGTCTCCAGACTGGAACCCCCGGGGGGCTGAGGTTAGTGATGCAAAATTGGTCCCATCATAATCCAATACTTGACTCAGAAAGGTAGGGGCTGTTGAGAATGCCTCCTTCCGTAAGAAGATTTCAATCTGCTCATACTCCTTCCCCAGCACCGGTCTGCGGTGGTACGGCAGCTTCCCTCCATACTTCTGCACCGTGATGTCCTGGTGAGTTGTTGGTGTTGGCAGGGGACCCACCACATACTCCGTGACATTTGGATCTGGCTGGTTTCCAAAATACACCACAGCCAGCGCCTGCCGGGAGGGTCGCTTTCCCCCACGATCCAAGAACCCCAGCACCTCTGCCTTGGTGGGGAGCTGCACATCGATGTAATAAATGCAGTTATCAGAGGGGTTTGCATTATAGGCGTCCACCAGTGGCACCCCAAGGCTGCTCTGCAGGTACCTCACCACTTGCACCATTTCTTCTGGTGTCAGATCAGCAAAGACCAGGCTCTGGTCACTGTGGTTTCCCTGCAGGGTGCTCAGGGTCTGCGGCTCACAGCTGGCTGGTTTCACTCCTCTCGTCAGCAACACACAAACCAGAGCGAAAATTGTGGCTAGTGCCAGAACCAAGAGGATGAGGACAGTTTTCAGGTTCATGTTGCTGCAGCCACAAAGGCAGAGGAGACTGTGAGAGCCTTCAGGAGTCACTTCCAGAGTGGAGTTCCCAGCTGCACGCAGCCTGTTTAAGCTGCAGTTGGATGGGTTAAGTACAGGAAACATGAAATGTAGAGGCGAGGTGGGAGGAGGAGGAGATCATCTGAAATTTGTTGGGACAAGAAAGGGCAGATCTTTGCTATCAGCCCATCCAGCACGCTCTGCGTTACACTGTAACTGATACACAGAAGACCAGTTACAGAGGAGGCCCCATTACTTGTTGGTTCAGACCAACTTCCAGAGGCTGCCTGTAAAAGTTGTGATCCAAGCACTCAGCATCAGTAGGAAGGTGAAACCAAATCTGCAAAAGGCTGGAGATTTTTTGCTATCGTGCAGAATTTCATCCTTTCCTGGCTCACTAAGCTTGGACTGCTCCTGGGGCTCCTTTCTCGTGAACTCTCCACGCTGCTGCTAGTTTCTGGTTCTCCGTCTGATTTGCTCTTGCATTTCCTTGGTAAGCAGGGTGGTTGTATTGTTATCTCTGAAAAGGGTTCATCTTGACTGTGGCTCTGGCTTAACCAATGCTTGTTTGGGACAAAGACTAGAGCCGCGGGACACAGCAAATGTGGCGGAAGGCGCTAGGTGAGGATTTGGATTTTAATGCGCTCTCGGGCCTTGCCAAGACAAAGGCTGTAGGGAGAGTGGTGCAGTCCTCTACGGGGGACATGAAGCACGCTGGTGGCAGGTGCATGTGCTGGGGTTTGCACTGGGGTAACCCAGACAAGGCCTCCATTTCCCCCCACCCCCGCCATTCCAGGAGTCAGCACCTCTGTGTTGCTAACAGGAAGCAGGTCCTTGTGAGATGGAGAGGAGGCAGGGGATCCATCTCCTCCCGATGCCATGTCTGGCTCTGGGGGGATGCAAAGTGCCACCTCGTTACTGTTCCCTTTTTGCAGAAGCATTTTTAATTTAAAGACCCTCCCCCCAGTGCTGTCACAGAGTCCCTGCTGAACTGACGTCTTGCTGAGTCGCAGACAGACAGACTGACAGCCCCACTGAGATGACTGGGGTCACCAGTGACCCTCGAGCACAGACACTTAGACGACACCTAATAGTTTCAGCCAGCAGATGGCGTGCACAGTAGCACCAAACAACCCTGGTGTGTAGGACGTCATACAACTCTCAAATAACCTTCCACGGGAACTGCTGCTGGAAAACATGCCTGGCTGGGTCGAAGCAATAGGAATTCAGCAGCCGCAATGAGGCCAGTTTGGGGTCCGAGTCTTGGGACCTGAACCACAAAAGTTCCCAGAGAAGATCAGTAAATGCTTAGCACGGCACAAGCCAGTCAGCTAATCCTCCCCGCCCCATGAGATCGGACACTGGTATGCTCCCAAGGTCATAGGGAGATGCAGCGGTTAGAACTAGTAAGACTCTGGCTCCCACCCTAGGCCTGGCCACTGACGGGGGTAAGAAAAATACACACATTTCCAAACTGCTACCTTACACGTTTCCCCTGGACCATGGAGCCAGCTGCCTCTCGCTGGGATTCACATGGCTCCTGGGGTTTGTGACTTTCCCTGACTTTTCATTTGAATAAGTCAAAAAATAATGTTGCAAAGAGCTCTAAGGGTAAGAGAGTGAACAAGGAGGATGCCGCTGGCCGTCTGCAGGAGTTCTGCATCTTGGGACAGCCCCCACTCCTGCAGTTCTACAGAATACAGGCAGGCCTCAACTTTACCACGTTCAACTTACAACGAACGGCACTTACGACCGTTCTGAATTGACACCCTGATTCGACTAACAACTAGTGGTTTCAACTTTACGATGATCAGTCCCGCAATAGAGTGCATTGCGGTTCCGAGTCACGACATTTCGACTTACGACACAATTTTCAGGAACCAATTGTCATAAGTCCGAGGACATAGCAAGTGAGAGGCACTAGGAGAGGGAGAGAGAGAATCACCACCAAAGAGACCTACCTCCAACGTCCAAGTCCACTTTATAATGGATGGAATGGGTGTGTATCGTCCCCAGGGTGTGATCCCCAACCCTATTGCCATAGTCTAAACCGTCACCGTAGAGAAAGGATGAAGTCATGTAGCCTGTGGCATGGACTTTGGCCTCGATAGCTCCGTTCTCGTAGAAGATGAAGTCCCAGACGTAGTCATAGTTGCCCAGAGTGGCAATGGACCGAAGGACCAGAGCAGAGTTGGTCAGCCCCCCATAGTACAGGGACTGCAAGTTGGAGTAATGGCGCCTCAGAGGAGACCCAGTGTTCTCCTCAAAAACGCAGATGGAGTTTTTATTAATTCTAGGGTTTGGGGATTGAGCTAAGTAGTGTGTGTCTACGTACGTAGCTGAATAGGGGCAATCAACCCCCCGGACTAACGGGTACGTGAATCTCCCGATGCCAAAGCTCCCATCCATGTACCTGGTTGACATCCCTCCAGGACAGTTGGACCCATAGACAGATATAGCATCCTGGACACTGATTTCATAGACAATCCTCTCCCCCTTAAATCTGATGTCAAAGAGACGCATCCCCGTGTTCACGTTCACCCCAAAGGCAAAGCTCCAGGCCCGGGAGACAACTTGGTTGTTTTGGACACTGTAGCGGGGCCCATGAGGCTCGTACTGCAGGGGGAACGGGGCCCTGGGAGCTGCTCGGGGCTGCATGGAAGAGAATCCCCCGTCGGGTGGGGCTCTCTTAACTGGGTCCACTTTGACATGGCCCTGCTTGAACTCCCTCTCCAGCTGCACCAAGTCCCCGTAGTACTGGCCGTTAAAGAACACTTTGCTCACCCTCCACTGGGAAACGTCCAGGCTGCTGTGATCAACCAGCACCTCCAGCCCCACCGGGTGCAGGAAGAAGCCGCTCACGTTGTGGAACAGAATAAACCAGGTGTTGCGGTCTCCAGACTGGAACCCCCGGGGGGCTGTGGTCATAGCTGCTAAATTAGTTCCATCATAATCCAATACTTGACTCAGGAAGGTTAGAGCTGCGGGAAATGCTGTCCTCCGTAAAAAGCCAGCAACCAGCTTGTACTCAAAATCCAGCACTGGTCTGCGGTGGTACGGCAGCTTCCCTCCATACTTCTGCACCGTGATGTCCTGGTGAGTTGTTGGTGTTGGCAGGGGACCCACCACATACTCCGTGACATTTGGATCTGGCTGGTTTCCAAAATACACCACAGCCAGCGCCTGCCGGGAGGGTCGCTTTCCCCCACGATCCAAGAACCCCAGCACCTCTGCCTTGGTGGGGAGCTGCACATCGATGTAATAAATGCAGTTATCAGAAGGGTTTGCTTGAGAGGCATCTACCAGTGGCACCCCAAGGTTTTCCTGAAGATACGTCACCACTTGCACCATTTCTTCTGGCGTCAGATCAGCAAAGACCAGGCTCTGGTCACCGTACTTTCCCTGCAGGGTGCTCAGGGTCTGCGGCTCACAGCTGGTTGGTTTCACTCCTCTAGTCAGCAACACACAAACCAGAGCGAAAATTGTGGCTAGCGCCAGAACCAAGAGGACAAGGACAGTTTTCAGGTTCATGTTGTTGCAGCCACAAAGGTAGAAGAGACTTACAGAGCCTTACAACAGCTTCCAGAGAGGCTGCCGTCAGCCTGTTTGGACTGTGGCTGGATGGTTAGTACAGGAAACACGAAAGGTGGAGAGAAGCTGGGGGAGGAGATCTGAAATTTGTGGGGACCAGAGAGGGCAGGTCTTTGCTCCCAGCCCATCCAGCACGCTCCGTGGTCCTCCAAGAGCAATGCATTAGGAAAACTACTGAAGCCGCAGGACCAGTGACTCATAAGACAAATTTCATATGATTATGTTGCTTTTTTAGTCAGGCCAGTTTGCTGAGGTTACCCATGAGAGCTGGGATGGCGTTGTCAGCATCAGGTCGGGGAATGGAGGGAGGCACATTCCCAGCCTGTGAGAGTGAAGATTTCACTGCCACAGCTCAGAATTCACCTCTTCACAGTTCACTGAGTTTCCCTGATTTCTCAGGCTCCTTCCTTTCACACCCCCCCCCCCCCCACTGTGTGGTTTTGGTTCCCAGTTTGACCTCCAGCAGCCGTTCCTGTATGAAGGAACATGCCCAGCTATGTAACAGCCAAAGGGATGCGGCAGCCCCAGCCAGGTCCACTTTAGGGCCTTAGTCCCAGCACCCAAATCACAATGAATAATTAGCACCAGCATCATGCCACTGCACAGCCGGTAATTAGCCAATCCTGGCCACACTCCCATGAGACAACTCAGGGGCATTATTAGCCCTGCTTCATAGGAGGGAGGGCGTGGGGGGGGGGGGGGAAGAGGAGATGGCTGCAGGGCACCAAGAGAGGCAGAACCAGGGTTAGCGCACAGGAGTCCCTGGATTCCACCATGTGCTCCTCCCTCTCCCCAGGCTGCCTGGCCACACGCTGGAGCCCAGCTTGGTACCGGATGGGTGGGCTCAGGAAAAAGAGAAGACACATTTCTGAACTGCCACTTTTCACATTTTCCCTGGACTGATCATGGCGCTGGCAGCCTCCTGCTGGAATTCCCACTGGCGAGCACAACTTCTCGTGACTCATAAGTTACTGTTTTCCTTGGTCTCCCTGCACCTCCAGAAAGGCGCAGGTGTCACAGTTGGCTAGAGAGACGGCTCCTAAATGAAATAAATAAAAGTCCTGCAGCTTGAGCCATAATCCCTGCCGGATCTCCAGCCTGTGCTGAACACACAAGCAAACCAAGAATCAGAGCAAGTTTCCATTCCCGCTGCCAGCCTCCCCTCCCTACCGTCTCCTGCAGGCAACACTTGCTCTTTCCTGCTGGGGGCAGGTCGCTTCCTCCTCGGGCAGTTCCACCTCTACTTCCTCACCGTGGGTTTGGACCCATCTCCCTGCCCTGTAGAGAAGTATTTAGCCAGGGCTGCTCTTGACAGAGCACCCACACCACCGTCCCATCATCATCGGCCCCAGCAGCCTTCTCTGGCCTAGTCTGCAGCCGTGAAGACAGACACAAGCGGCCGCACGTCATTTCTGAGTCCACCCATTTCCGGCTCCTGGGCAGCTGGAGTCTAGCGCTGTGGCGAGGGCAGGGGCTGCTGCTGTCACCACTCACCTGCTGGCAGGCGAATTATACAAGATGGCTACCCCAGAAACATGCACCTTTCCTTCTGCTGGACTCACTAGCATCACACCTGCAGACAAGCAACACGAACCCAGGGAGGAGACACTACAGGAATGGCGCATTCAGCAGCAGCCTTGAGAATGGAGCCCTGGCTAAGAGCGATGCAATGACAGTTTACATCTCCTCTGAGCTGTCTGTAGCCAGGCACAGGCTGTAAACACAGCGTTTTTCTAAGGGACAGGGAGTGCTTAAAGAAAGGTGGCTAAGCCCTACAGCTGCCTGGAGCCAGCGCGGAGGGAGCTGCAGGGTGGCCTGAACACAAAGGTTTGGGATTTGTTCGGTGTTTTGATGTAGATCTAAGCTCACTAGTTACACCACAGTAAAAACCCACCTACCCACACTAACGAGCAGCCTATTTGTGGGGAAGGATATGGCCAACATGGAGGGAATGGGTGGTTCTGTGCTGCTGCTCTCCCGAGTTTCTGGCCTATTGATGTGCCCGAGGACACCCCAGGGCAGCGCACTGTCTAAACGTGCAGTACTTGACACCTTCTGCGGCACGGTTCCAGCCGAGGGATCTGAAAGCATTTGATAAAGTTCTCCGGAGTCACAGCAGCCCCACCCTTTCAGAGCCCGTGGAGAACAAATCTGAATCCATTTCAAAACTGCAAGGGAAATGTCAGGAAGCAAATGAAATGAATTGAACAGCAGCACGCTAGGACACCTGGGCTTACTCTCTGATGCTTACAAAAAGTGATCTGGGTTCTTTAAGAAGCACAAGTGCTGAAGGTCTTGGTTTTAGGTCTCATCTAAAACAGAACACCTCCAGAAGCTCAGAACTTAGGAAGTATCAAATCTCCTTACTAGCAGTAACACAACCTGTTTACTCCCAGTTTCAGAGCATGCATCCCCTTCCACACATCCGATCCAGCCACAATACAGAACTTCTTGCAGCCCTGCCCCAGAGAATTCACTTCCTGCGGAGGTTTATTTTAGCCAGGTAATTCCTTTTTGGGACCACCTATTGCTACATCCTGGGTTTGGTAAATTCCCCCCTGAAGGAGTGAGAAGGGAAGTTTCGTGTTTTACAGCCGCACAATTCATCTCTGCAATGTACAGGAACCAAACCGAAAGCCAGCTAGCCAGTGGCAGCACCAGAATGCCAGCCACCAGGGCAGGGAGCCCATTACTCAACTCCCCATGAGCTGGCTGGGCTTGTCTACTTCCAGGCAGAACTCCGGCTGCAGGGACGTTTAAATTCCTTGCTCCCATTTTCTCCTGTCAGCTAGTTACATCATTTTAAATGTCAAAATAAGTTTGCTTGATGTTCTTTCACTCTCCTTATATTGGCTGCAGGGATGGGGCAGATCGCTGCTGTGCTTGGTTGCCCCTTTGACAGGCATTAATAGGCACACTCACCTAGGTGAGTTTCCCCACATACCCATGAGTTCAGGCCCTAGCAACATGTTACCAGCTTCCTTGTGAGCACAGCAAAAGAGCTACTCCCAGCTAGAGGGTGAACGCCCAGGAAGCTGCTCCAGCTTTGACACAAGCAGCCTGTTCCCCTGGCTCTGCAGCTGGACCAGCCCCTAAGATCCATGAACGCTTATTTCTGTGGTAGTGATGAGCGGGTGCTTTTCACACAGTGCCACATCAGGTTCTTTCAGCGTCAATCCATGCTGACCCCCAGCTCCTGTGGCCTCACAGCAAACAAAGGAATTTTATTTTAAGCCACAGTCCTTCCCTCCTGTTGCGAAGGGGGCCTGGCTTGAGTAGGCCTTTGGCATTTCCCACACCACAGGGAGCAGAGTGGAGGGGGCCTCAGAGGCAGCAGGAAACTCAGACTTATCCAGAAGTTGTTTCTCACATTCCTCAGTGGTTCCTAAGATTTGTGATGAGATCCAGCGTGCTCTCACAGGAGCCAGCTGCTCAGGGTGGGAGCACCATGGGTCGGTGGCTGGAGCAAGATCATCATCTAGTGGCTGTTGGCTCCAGACAGGGAACCCCTCAGTGTGTGCTTGAGGATGGCTTCTGTACAGAACAGACCCCTGCCCAGATCAAGCAGCCTTAACTACCTCAGATCCTCAGCATCAACTGTCTAAGTCCCTCCTTCACCCAGACCAGGGGGTTAAGAGGACTGCGAATACCTGACACCACACTGGAGTGGAGTGTGCGGCAAGATCCATTAACCCAGGGGAGAGCCTGGCTCTAGGGCAGAAAGGAGACAGCATTAAGGGGGAGATTTCAATCCTCCCTCAGAGCTCAAGCTCATGGGAGAGGAAGCTTGGAAACCATCGGTTGCCATTGGAAAATGTGGTGGAGCTGGGAGTGCGCGTGCAGACTGATGCGGAGGAGCAGGTCTCTAGCCCCAGGATGGAGCTGCTAGCTGGAAATGAGGCAAGAGATGAAAAAGAAAAGATGAGGTCAGTGTTCCGAGACCACAGTAGCTTTGAACTCAGAGCAGGAAGTGGAATGAGAAAACCATGGCGTGGCAGACTGCCAGCCTGGGCACCGCTGCTGAACTTTGCAATTGGCCTGTATCTTTCCTCCTTTGGTCTCCAGCTCCAGCCTAGTGAAAGGGGCCAGGTGAGAGCCCTGGAGCCTGCACTCTAGCCCTAAAATGGCAGGCAGCTATGCCAGCTTCTCCCACATGCAGGCCTAGTCCATCCAGCCCTCACCACTGAGACTGACAACCCTGATGTGGGAGACACCCACTACACAGAGCTGCAGCCAGGGCCCAAGGAAGAAGCTCCAGGCACCAGCTGCCTAGAGTTGGAGGCTCCCTTATCCCAGTCCCTGGTCCCCAGCGGCCCATTTTATTCCAAATTATTCTAGCAACTCCCATTCACCCCGCGCAGGAGTGAGCAATGGGCAGTGTAAGGACATGGGGCCTTGGTACTAAGTTGCTGGATGCTGCTGGAACCCCACAGCAGCAGACGATTGTCTGGACACATGGTGAAGGACACGGCGATGGATACAGCACAAGGGTGGAGCGAGTGGACGTGAGAGAGGCATGGCCAGACTGGGACACAGGCGAGGCATAGCCACCGACAGAGCATGTCTGACAACGCAGCATCACACAAGGGTCCTACTTAAGAATTCAAAGTACCTGTATTTTAATTTCTTGACATGGTAAAAGTTTTACATACGTTCATCTGGCAAGGAAAGTTGAACAGTCCAACAAATAAAAAGGAATCAGTACAAAGAAACACACAGTGAAGGTGCTGCTCCCAGGCAGCAGCTAAGACGCAGTTGGTTTGTTACTGAATATTTATTAACGGGAAGACGAAAATTGGACTTACTACAAACAACAACAAAGGAGTCTATCGAAAGGGCCAGGGGGCCCTCCACGCTCAGAGCAACCCCTGGGAAACCAGCAAGAGAAAACGTGGCTCTTCACCATAGAAGAAGAAACAAAAGCAACAGAACGCAAGAGGGAAGGAGAGGACGTTCATTCCATTTCTCACAACTAACTACTATAAGGCTACTGCACAAGAAGTTACAAGTGTGACAGTGAGACC